ATCAATTATCACAGGAAGAACCCGTTGGCCAAATTGTAACAGGAGGGGATGGCAGCAGAACCTCAGCAAAGTCCACCTTGGAAGACAACAACGACCAGGAGCCCCTGCAGAACTGGGAAGACAAGATCAAGCCCAGCATTGAGACCAAGCTCTTCTGCCCAGACGATGACAAATTGGATGATGTGAGTGTCCTGGAGCTGCCACCAGAGGACAAAGACCAAAAATTCAAAGCTTTTGCTGCAGATGGGCTCCCAGTGCCCGTCCCTCGCGAGGCGTGGGTTGAGGAACCGGCCCTGGAGCCGTGTGTCCCCGGCAAACGGCGCTCACGCTTCAGGCGGGCGCTGCGGGCGCTGCGGGGGCTGCTCCGCTGCCCCTGCCTGAGGCCACGGGCAGAGCCCTGAAAAGGGAAGGCGGAGAGCACGAGGAATACAGAGAAGACAAGACAACATCGCAGATGAAGGAGATGAAGACAATGAAGAACTGTAAGACAAAGAAGAACAGGAAGAAGACCGACTAAGAAGACAAAGAAGATGGAGAAGACTTATTTAGGAATACATAGAAGAATAGTAATAAGAATTTAGGAACACTTAGAAGAAGAAGAAGAATAGGAATAAGTATAAGAATTTAAAAGTACATTTAAGAAGAAGAAGAGTAATAAGGATTTAGAAATATATATAAGAAGAATAAGAATAGAAATAAGAATAGGAATAAGCATAGGAATAGGAATAAGAATTTAAAAATACATAGAAGAAGCAAAGAAGAAGAGTAGTAAGAAAAAGTAGTAAGAAGACGAAGAATAACAACCAGAAGACTAATTGAAGAATACAAGAATGGAGATAAAATTTAAGGACTAAGTAAAATTAGCAAATTTTTTTTATTAAGTATTGTATGTTTGCATTACAGTATATGATACAATAGGTTGTAGTTAAGATACATGATAAGGTCCTAAGTCTGTTCCAGTTAGTGTAGAATTAGTGTATGTTCTAATAAAGTCTGTAAGAGACAAGAAAAGAGTGTCCGGATTTCGTTTGCTGTGTCTCCGAGGTGCTGCTGCATTTTCACTCTCAGTGCCACGGAGTCCCCTGTGAGCAGTGACTGCTCAGCCCCAGCGGCAGCGGGAGAGTTCCCGGCTGGGCCGGCAGGGCAGGGCTGTCCCTGCTCTCTGCAGGCAAACGAAAGGCGCCCGCGGAGCCCGGCTGAGAGAGAACCGTGCTGGGAACCCCTTTGCAGCAGGGCTGTGCAGCCGCCACAGCGAAGCCACCACAGCTCGGGGCCGTTTCCCCTTGTCCTGTCCCTGTTCCCTGGGAGCAGAGCCCGACCCCCCTCACTGCCCCTCCTGGCAGGGTCACTGAAGGATTGTTCCTTTCTTGGGCCTCTCCTCCTCCCCTCTGCTTTCCAAAACCAAATAACGATCACGGAACGATGACAAATCCCACATGAGTGTTTGGGATGGGATGGTCACCCATTTCTTCTGTCCACAAGGACAACCAAGTGTCTCCCCCTCCCTTGCCCAATGCCCAACAGCAGAGAGTCCCTAGGGCAGCGTTCCTGTCTGTGGGAGCAGCAGGAGGGAAGTTTGAGCACTTCTGCAGCCTTGAGAGAGGGGAAGACAGGAATTCTCCTTCCTTTCTTCCTTCCTTCCTTCCTTCCTTCCTGAAGCCTTGGACCCATCTGGTGATTGTTTCCCTGATGATGCTCAGTTTTGCTTCCATGTTTCCAAAATAAAGCAGAGCACAGGAAACAAATATTAAAAAAGACAAGATCAACAAGTGACAAAAGTGTTTAAGTTTTTACTAGCATAGCTTTTGTCTCCATCTCTGAGGTCCTTCCCCTTGCAGGAGATATCAAATTGATCTTGAACTCTTGAATGGGGTTTGAGTGACAAGCTCAGCTATGTGAAATGTTGTACCTGTTTTTGTTTTTTTTTTTTCTCTAGGGCTGAATCCCATTCCCGTGCTCAGTCGGGCTGTTGGGAGGAGCTGTTTGTGTTTCTAACGAAGGAAGATGAAGAGGAGGAGGAGGGCCCACGGTGCTGAGGGTGTGGGGATGACTGGAAGGGTGGGAGGCACTGAGGGGATGCTGCTGGGGATGCTGCGGTGAGGGTGGAGGATCGAGGGGGACAGGGCAGCTGCAGGTCTGGCTGCCTCCTCCACTCCCTTATCCTTGGCTTTAGGAGAGCAGAAATCATTTGGATCTGAAGCAGGAACTGGAGGAAGATCCTTCAAGAAGACTCCTCAGCCTTTTGTGCGGGCACACAGCAGGGTCTGACACGGTAAGGGAAAAGAATTCCAGTGAGACATCCCTGTCCACAGCCTTTCCTCCAGCACCAGGGGTCCTTGCAGCTCTCTTTTCCTCTGTTCCCCTCTCCAGCCTTCCCTCCCCGACCAACTCACTCACCAAATTTCCTCTCTCCCAGCACGCTTTTGCTTGGCTTTGCGATAAACATCCTTAGTGTCCTCACTGGGAGGTGGAATGGAAAAGTGAATTTTTCCCAAAGGACTGGAGGCACTGCCTGCTTTCACTCTCTTCCCAGTTCGGAACTTTAATTCATTCTGCTTTAGAAAACTTAATGGAATTGTGAGATTATTGGCAGGGGAGGGGGGGTGTGGAATTGCTTTTAGAACCACTTTCCTTTTGATTGATAACTGTTGTACCATACTGGAGAGAATGTTGGTGCCTTTGTTAGAGACAGAGCAGTTGTAATTCCACATTCACAGTCAATTCCAGCGATTATTTCTCAGGCAGGGACAAAAGGAAGGACAAAGCCTGACACTCTGGGTTGTTACCCAACATAAAGGCTAGGAAAAGTCTTTTGCAAGGAAATCAGTCCGGCCCTGGTAGAGCATTAAACACATGCTCTGTGTTTATACACCTAGAGCACAACAGCTAAAATTTCAAATCAAATAACCCCCAAAATTCTGCAGTTCCCAAGGCCGGGCTGTGAGAATTCCTGACATTGAACTTGGGCAATTCAAGAACGATGAAATACAGAGAGTTAAAGAGCATTTTGTAGTGAGTTAAGGCAGTGCAATCCTGTCTCTGGAGCCCCAAGCACGATTCTTGGTGTATCACAATTCTGGGAACATCTCGCCTGGAATTTTCTCCCTCAGTGTCACAATTTAGCTCCCATTTGTCTCTGGAAGATGTGCAATGAATTAAACCCAAGGGTCGTGATTCCTTGGGAGAAGGCAGCAGGACTTGCTGTGGTTCCTTTAATTTATGATTTCTCTCCTGAGTAAGGACTGGTTTCTCCATTAGCACCTCCCTTAAAGGTCACATTCTGGGGTGCATTTTTCTCTCTGACATTTGTCCACACGCAGCACATAGAAATTAAGTTTGCAGATGTGACCTATGATAACATTTCTGAGATAAATCAAAACTCATCTGCCACGAAATATTGCTGAGGAATATGAAATGAAATGTCAGTGTGCCAGTGAGATGAACAGTTGTCTTTTATTGAATGTGCTGCTCTGCTGAAGTGTCCTCCCAGCGATTGTCAGTGGATAAAGTCTGTCCTGAAATCTGCCTTTGCCATTTATTGCTGAGAATGTTTGCACTCTTAAAAGCTTCTAGACTGACCACAGCATTCAGAATGAAATCCATTTATTAAATAGGAACGGGAGCTGTACTCCTTATTTTTGCATATTTATTTATTATCTATTTATATAATTTTATATAAATCATATAAATATAATTATTTTAAATATATTAACGAATATGTTTATAAAATAAACGTTATATTTATATAACATATAAATATTACAAATGTATTCATTATGTAGTTATTCTTTGCCTAGTTCTGTCTTATATATTTGATTATCATTTGCTTATTTTATATATCTATTTCTTTTTATTTGTTTAGAAATAAATGCATATATAACATATGAAATATATAAAAATCTATTTTTAGAGTATTTGTATGACCCCCAGCAGAACTCTGCATTTCACCTGAGGCTGGAGAAGCTTCCAGAATTAAATGATAGAACTGGGATCATGGGGGTGTGGTTTGAATAAAAGTGTGTGATATCACATGGTGGAAAACTTAGAATTTAAGGTTTTAAAATATTGTAATATATAGGAAGAAAGATGGAGGTTTTAAGACAAAAGCTAGTCTTTCTTCTTCACCTTCTCTCCATGAGTTTGGGTAATATTGTGTAATTAAGTAAAAAAGTCCATATTGCAAGCCAGAAGTGGTTAGTTATGAAGTTAAAAGTAAAAATAATTAAAGTAGCATTTCATAATTAGACAGTTTACCCTTAAAATGCCTTGTAAAAAAGAAAGACTAATTTTTGAATTTAACCTAAATAGTGGGAAACTTAGAGTTTAAGGTTTTAGAATATAGTAATATATAGAAAACAAGATTGAGGTTCCAAGGTGGAGGTTTCTTTCTTCTTCACCTTCTTCTCCACGGGTTTGGGTTATATTTTGTGATTGGATAGAAAAATCCACATTGTGGGTCACACGTGGTTGGTTATTGGGTTTTAAAGGTAAAAATAATTTAGGTGTCATTTCTTTATTGGACAGTTTGGGCTTAAAAGGTCTTGTAGAGAGAGATGGGGCTCCATTTTTAGCTTGTTAGCTTGAGGTGCTGCAGCACTCACTGTAATATAGATAAAAATTAATAAACACCTGAGTCCAAACATGAAATATCATCTGTGGAGCTTTTAATCCCGACTGTGGCAAAGAAGAAAATAAAAAGCTCAGAGTCAGTGGTGCTGCAAGGGCTGCTGTGCTCCCCAGGGCCATGGCTGAGCGCGTGCTGGTGATCGGCAGTGGAGGCAGGGAGCACGCCCTGGCCTGGAAGTTGGCTCAGTCCCCACATGTCAAACACGTGTTTGTGGCTCCAGGAAATGCAGGGACAGCTGACAATGGAAAAATCTCCAATTCAGGTAAATCCAATCCAAAAATCTCCAATCCAAGCCGTCAGTGCTGTAGCAACTGAGACAAAGTTACTGGGGAGGTTACAACAACCAGTAACTCCAGTTGTTTGTCCTTTGCTGGTGTCACAAATGGTTGAAGGCCCAGATTTGTTTTTTATTCTGTGTTTTGTTTCTGAATGTCAGAGCTGCCTCCTCAACCATCCTGCTGTATTTATTTTTTTGCCTTGCTGTTTAACCTAGTGAGGCTTATATGTGTTCCTGTATTCCCACACCTCATCTCTTCCACTTTGGTGCTTGAATTCAGTGACCAATTCCAGCGAAACTTAACCCAGGAACAGAAGGCTCAAAGTTCTTAATTCTGAATTGAAAACCTCTGTGTCTGCCCAGGCTGCTCAGCAAAATTTAGCTGCATCATCCAATGCTTTGAATAAACCTTTTCTCAACTGTTAAAATGAAGTTTCTTTCCATACCTCACGTTTTATTTTTCAAAGTTGCTATTATTGTGAAAAGCAGCTTTGGAAAATATATCATGATTACAGATGGCAAATAAAATAGATTTAATCAATTAGC